AAAAGTGAACTTAAGGATGACCTTAAGGAAATTGAAAGTGAACTTAAGAATGACCTTAAGGAAATTGAAAGTGAACTTAGGAATGGCCTTAAGAAAATTGAAAATAAATTCATGGATCAAATACAACTTTTATTAAATGAAATAAAATCATCAAAATCAAAAGATCCATCATTAACCAACTATTGAATAATTTTTAGTGTAAAATTGAATAATATCTTTTTTTTTTTTGATTTGTGAATATTTATGAAAAATTGGTTAATTTATTCACAAATGCAAAATTATAATAATTTTTTAAAAAAATAATTTTTCATAATAAATTTTTTTTAATTTGTCAATTTAATTTTTTCTGCTGGTCTTTTTGAATAAACCATGAAATTTTACCAGTCAATAGGTTGATTTGTCATTGAATGTTGTCTCATGTATTGTGATTACAAGAGCAATTTATACCAAGGCTTCACCAAAGTAGAAGCTCAACAAATTCCACAACAATATATTTATTTGTTCATATATTTACATGCATGAGGACCCTGAACAATTAATAATAGAGGGAAGGAAGTCATACAAAATTTTGGGTAATGTAATTATATTTTTGTAAAAAATTGGAATATGAATGCTGTCTGTGCCAGGGTATTAAGTCCAAGAGTGTATGTTATTCTATAATGATCAAATATATACAGTGTGTAACAAAACAAGCTCACAACTGAGAATGTAATGCAAGCTTTTGCTTTTTGTGTTACAAATCACGCACACCATTCTACATGAGAACAAAAATTCATTTATTTTAAGCAGTGTTGTGACCAAAAACTCTTTTGGCTTCCCGAAACGTTTCGGAAAATGAACTTACACTAAGCAGAAAACTAAACCTAAACCTAAACATAAACATAAACTACTAACCTAAACTAGTTTCGGGTGGTTTCTGTTAGTTTCTGTTTCTGGTTTTCCCTAAACTCAGAGTTTCGGGTCACAACACTGATTTTAAGTTGGGTTTGGGATTGCATCTTTGTCACAAAGAGCAAAAAAATGGCATCACTTGGGCCAAGACAGTAGTCTATTTTATTATATCCAAAACATATAAATAGAACAGCTGTCCCCACATTTTTTTTTTTGAAAAACTTGAATATTTTCACTAAACAAAATCAGATCTTAATCTTTATTATCATCCTCAAAAAATGATGATTCATTGTTGTTTGCTACTTGCTGTTATAATAATAATGCTTCTTCATAATTGATGGATCTTCTTCATATATTACAACAAATGTAACCAATCAAATCAATTAATGAATTTTATCTCCCTTTTTAAAATGTTTCCTTCTAAATAAAATAAACAATAAAAAATAGCAAAAGAGAGCAAAGGATCAATACATCCAACATGAGCCACCAGCAAGAGTTCCATTCTCTCACTTGCTGGACTTTCATAACACATTTGAGTCACATGGTTCGCCATTACATGTAATGGAAAATGAGCCTCATATAAAGCTCCGAACGAGCCGAGTCGAGCCGAGTTTATACTCAGCTCGAGCTCGAATATTTGAGTTCGAGCCAGCTCGCATACAGAAAAGTGTTGGCTCGAACTCGGCTCGAGCTCGAAAACTCGAGCCAGCTCGAAATTTGATACTATTTTTTTATAAAATCACGTTTTTGCAAATCACCGAAAATAATCGGTAACTAAAAAATTCCGAAAATTTTAAAAATTCAAATGAGAGATTCATGTTTTAACAATATTTGTACTTCTAATAAAAAACGTTTTTAGGTTCTGACATATATGCATACAGTCAAAAAAACCTTTGTTTTAACAAATTATAATTAAAGCGAATCATAATTAAATTCGCGTCACAATGAATCATAATTAAATTCACGTTCAACAAGTTTAAAAGCTTGTATACATCGCAGTTATTTGCGGAGAATTAAAACGAAATGCAAAATGTTTAAAAATTGTTGAATTGGGCTAGAGTTCCTATCATAATACAAATTCTTCGTTTTATATCCATTTTATTCTCGTTTTATCCGTTTGTTTTATTATTATTCATTTTATTAGTTTTTATTCATTTTACTCGTTTTTACTTGTTTTATTCGTTTTATTCCTTTTGTTCGTTTTTATTCGTTTTGTTCGTTTTGTTCGTTTTGTTCGTTTTGTTCGTTTTGTTCGCTTTTATTCCTTTTGTTCGTTTGGTTCGTTTTTACTCGTTTTATTCGTTTTGTTTGTTTTGTCCATTTTGTCCGTTTGTTCGTTTTGTTCGTTTTTACTCGTTTTATTTGTTTTGTCCGTTTTGTCCGTTTTGTTCGTTTTTACTCGTTTTATTCTTTTGTTCGTTTTTTTTCTTTATGTTCGTTTTGTTCGTTTTTATTTGTTTTTATTCGTTTAATTCGTTTTGTTCCTTTTGTTCCTTTTGTTCGTTTTTATTCGTTTTGTTCTGTTTTATTCGTTTTATTCGTTTTATTGTGTTTATTTGAATAAGTTGAGCAGACTCGAGTTAAAACTTGAATTTTCAAGTTCGAGCTGAATTCAAGAAAACAGGCTCTTAAATGGGTTAAAGTATTAGGATTAATGTTCGCTACTTGAAAAATTTTTATGTAACGTCAAACTCCAGCTTGGCTCGAGCTCGACTCGAAAAACTCGAGCCAAGTCGAGTCGAGCTGAACGTTTGGCTCGAGCTCGGCTCGTTCGGAGCTTTAGTGCTACGGATTAATATTAATTATTAACAGTTATAGAAAGATCCGTTATAGACTGTGTAGACTGTTGTAGGGTTTCTATTCGAATAAGGTTATTTGAATTACATTGAAAGTTTATTCGAATAAGGAAATTAATTTGAATAAAAAATTAATTCGAATAGGAAAATTGATAAGGAAATTAATTCGAATAAAAAAATTAATTCGAATAAGGAAATTAATATGAATAAAACAAATAATTCGAAAAAATTAATTCGGATAAAACAAATAATTAAGGTCCAGTTTAAATTCAAGCTCACTGGAAAGATTGCTATTTATTAAAAGAAACATGAATCTTGTTTCAGTCTTTCCTTATTAGTTTCATTTTTAATTTCAATTTTTATAATAATAAAATCAATATTAAACCTTGTTGTATATATAGTTTGAATATTTAAGTAATTGAACAACCCATGATTCCAAATAATCTAATAAAATGAATGAACAAACCCAAGATTCCGATAATAAATAAAACAAATAAAACAAATAATTTGAATAAAGCGTATTAAATTTTTAATTCGAATAAACTTTTAAATTCGAATAAACTTTTTAATTCGAATAGAAAGCCTTAGACTGTCGATCCAATAATGATATACAGTGTGTTACAAAAATAATTGGCCAAAAAACCATGTGATTTAAAACGTGATAACTTTTCGCATTTTACAGCTTTTAAAAATTTTTATCATCATATTATCACAAATATAGCCGGAACCATGACATCATCAGATCTAGAATCACAACGTCAACTATATTACATTTTTGGAAGAAGGGTGTCCATAAATCCCAAGAAATTCATAAATTCACTATCTACTATTAAATATAATATTAAAAAATTGAACGGTACAGGAACTTTATCCCATAGACAAAAAACCGGACGACCAAATAAGGTTACACAAACTACAGCAAGAACTCTTGGGCAGTTTCTTCGAAGAGATCCTACTCTTTCTTTAAGAAGTTTGGCCAATAAACTATCCAAATTTGATATAAATCTTAGTTATGTTACAA